CCTCCTTTGTCAGCTTCTGGCCTCTGCCCTGTCCACTGACCGGGCAGAGGGCCTGTGAGCTGACAAGGTGTTTGCAGAGAAGCTCTGGGAACAGAGTTGATCAGCAAGACAAACAAATTATCTTTCAACCAAGGTCCAACTTGGCCCCATTTCTCCCTGTGGACATCAGCCACTTTCTCCCTTTTCCCTGCACCCCTTTGCCCGATCTCAGTTAAATGTCTGTCAGCTTGAGTACCACTTGATTGTCTGTCATTCTGCCCTCACAGGCAGCTGTCAGAGGAAAATGCTAATCTCCAAGAGTACGTTGAGAAGGAAACCCAGGAGAAGAAGAGATTGAGCCGAACCAACGAAGAGCTGCTTTGGAAGCTCCAAACTGGGGACCCAACCAGCCCAGTTAAACTGTCTCCCACATCCCCAGTTTACCGTGGCTCCTCCTCGGGGCCCTCTTCTCCAGCCAGAGTTAGCACGACACCCAGATGACGCCATCATGCAGCCTCTAGGAGCTCTGGCTTCTCGCCCACCAAGCGTGTCCACCATGAAGGAGTACTGACCAGGTGCTGGCCCAGAGCCAGCCCTGCACGCATGCTCAGTAGCTGCATACTGCATCCTAGACAGCGTCCTCTGCTGATCCCCATGTAAGGCTGTCTGGTATGGGCACTTAGGGAAGTGTAAATGGTAGAGTCTGATGTGCAAACGTTTTACCACAGTTAGAGCCAAAAGAAAGACAACTCCAGTGGCCCTTGAGCAATGAACTTTCACTGCAGAATTTCAGGTTAGTTACAAATAGCTCAGTTTTGAATATACATTGAAAACTCCTTGTGTACTGCCCCGACATGTGTGTATATTTAGCTATACATATATACACATGCGGCGGGTCTGAATCGCATTTTTTATAACATGAAGTGCTGACATATTTTAGTGAAGGTCAGCCGTTTTCTAACTTGTGCCTAAGAATTATTGGGAAATGAAAATGCATTTCTACCTAGCTTCCCAGGAATCTTTCTACCCAAAATAGAAAAAGGAAAACAAAAAAAACAAGAGACAGACAAATTTGAATATACATTGAAAACTCCTTGTGTACTGCCCCGACATGTGTGTATATTTAGCTATACATATATACACATGCGGCGGGTCTGAATCGCATTTTTTATAACATGAAGTGCTGACATATTTTAGTGAAGGTCAGCCGTTTTCTAACTTGTGCCTAAGAATTATTGGGAAATGAAAATGCATTTCTACCTAGCTTCCCAGGAATCTTTCTACCCAAAATAGAAAAAGGAAAAAAAAAAAAAAAAGATACAGAGAAGAAGCGCCTTTCAACCTCCCACCACGTGGTACTCCATGTAACACGAACACCAGCGACTTGTGATCGGTAGCTGCCTTTGGAACAATCAGCTTCTTAGTCAACATGACATGAGGTCACTATTCTTCCATCGCGAGTTTTAATTCTCAGTCCTCCTGTCATGAGTGGATGAGGAAGAGCAGTGGGAAACCCAAGGGGGTTTAGGAGTTTTGCAGGTGTTCCTCGTGACAGTGGCTCATCTATTGTCTTGTAAACACAAGTTTTGCTTTTTTTCCTAAGTGGCATCTCAGAATCAGACATTAAGCTATTATTGCACTCTTGGGAAAACACAGAAGAGCAGGACCTTTTAGAGTGGGGGTGAGGAGGACCCTGGAGAGGACCAAGACCATCCGTGCCCCATCCTCGAGAGGCAAACTGCTGACAGGGTCCGTATTTCGACCAGTCACAGAGCGGAGACGCGTACTCTGGCGTTCTGTGTGACTGGCTCTGATGCGATGCTGTAAATGGTCGACTCATTGACCTATGACCCTCAGGCCTCATTTCATAGGCCACCCCCCCTTCACTTTGGTTCTAGAACTCAGCCCGTCACTGCACATTGAGTGTTCGGGGTTCTAGCAGGGGCTTCCAGAAAACCAACATTTCTCTCCTTGGGGACCAGCTCTAAGCCGTGCTAGATCATCCCACGACCTCCCAGAAACCCAGCTGTCCTGTCTAATGGATGATCAAGCCATGCCGACAGTGGTCTCATGTTTGGCCCAGAAGGTTCTCTTGACCAGAGGGGCCCAGTAAAACAGCCAGCCAGGGGTCACTGGCTCCTGGACTGGCACGTGTCTCTGAAATGGTAGAATTAGAATGTGCGAGGTATTCGTGTAGTGCTTTGAAGACTAGGAGCATGAAACACAAAAGGAAAGAAGTAGTTTTACCTGTCGACATGGTGATGATAAGGATGCCTTTGTTCCCTGTCTGTGACAAAGACCCTGCACTTTTCTCTCTGCGGCCCCTAAAACTTGTCCCGAGCACAGGCCTGTCTTTGAGCTTACCCACAGCTAGATGACCCATGGCGGGATCCTGCAGGGGCCAGAGCCAGGGAGCCAGCAAGAAACGGCCCTTGGAAGGACTGGGCCTGCCCAGGATCGCGTGTGTGCCCAATACAAAAGCAGGCATAAGCTGTGTTCCACACACCCTTCCAGGTTGGGCTTCCCGGCCTCAGGTACACCAGTTTTCCAAGGGTCTTGCCCATTCTGGGGACACGCACAGCAGATACACATCGAAGAGACATTTCTTTTTCCTTTAGTGGCTCTGCATGATACTGTAATATTGAGTTGGGCATCCGTTAGAGTAGATCATGCCACGTTGACTAAATACACAACTATTTATTCTTGTAGCAGGCACAACCTGCAGACACAAGTTCGGCTGCAGCTTAGCTCTCCGAATTAGGAACCGCGTCCATCACCGCACCTGCTCAATGCAGTTACACAGCAATACAGACTTCGGTGTGATGTTAGAATGTGGTGCCGTGCGTTAGGCTGTTGCGGTCCAAGTTGTAGCTATGTTAGCACTAAGTAATCCCTCATTAGGTGGACTCGAGCTTCGTCCTCACGGCCCTGGCCTGGGGAGCTTGAGTGAATTCCCATGTGGCCCTGGCCTCGATTTTTCATCATGGAAACCCGTCTTGTACGACTCCTCACCTGAGCCTCACACAGCTGCCATGCCGCCGCCTCTTCCACACTTCCACCCCCGACACCGTTAGGATTTGGAGCTTCTGCAGCACACCAGCCAGCCTCTGCCCACCTCCCAGGCTGGAGCGACGCCCCACCCGCTTCACACAGACTGGCCAACATCACCAGAGTCTCCTTGGCTGCTGGGCGACCTGTAGGTGGCCTGTCACCACCTTGCCCAGTCCCTGCCCGCCACCCACTGGGAGGAGGCTCTGGCTGGCTGTCAGGACGGGTGGGAGCGGGGGATGGCACTCTGTGATTGGTCGAATGAGGTCACGACATTCCTTTTCCTGCCCCTACGGTTTTCTGTGTTGCATATTTATGTTGAATTCTAAAGCCTATTAAAATGAACTTGAGGGACTTGCTGTGATGTTCACATGGTGTACTTGGAGACCTGTCCTTCACAGACTGGGGATTCCAGGCAGGGAGGTGCGAGGGAGGTGTTTTTCTCTGTGTGTCCCAGAGGCAGCTCCCTGTCACTGAGGAAAGTCTCGAGACTCCCCCCAACCCCCAACCCAAAGATGCTGCTGAGGTGCCCACGTCCAGCCTTCCAGCAGGATCTTAAGCAGCCCATGCCCTGGACTGGGGGAGCACAGTGGCCCTACTCCACGAGGCCTTCTGCAGGAGGCCAGGTTGGGGCTGGAGTCGGTTGGAAAAGGACACCAAAAATGGAGGACCACCCCCATCACTGTTTCCAGCTCAGACCACCTACGTGATCGTTTCTACCCCAAGAGAGCTGACCTGCCCTAAGTCGTGTCCATTCGTGTCTGAGCGCTCCTCTCACGGGCCCTCCTAGTGTGGTACCCTTGCTGACAGGGGACACAGGACCCTGTCGAACTGTGGCTCTCCCTGTGCCACCCAAGCACAGTCCCAAGCACAGCCAGGACTTGTTCACTGCTTTCGATGCGGAAGTGTCTGCTCCCCATCCTGCCTGCCTCTAAGTGTTTTCCAGTGCCAGCACCACGTAGGTCGGGGGTGCCCTGTACCTCTGAGCTCGGAAGCCCCTGGACACGTGCCTGTGCCACGGCCTGTCCCCTCAGGTACCTGTTCCACAGCCAACTGAGCACGGCTGCTGTCTGGGCATGGCGGGTTCTCGCTGAATCGTACCCAAGTGAACCTGGCAGTAGTGGGCCCCGCTGCTCCCACTCGCACTGCACAGGAGCAACTGCGCTCCTACAGGGCTCCCAGCATGGGCTGCCTTATTATGGTATAGGGCGCGTGCACTCACTAGAGAGACAGAAACAGAAAGCGAGAAATCACCCCCTGGGGGGATGGCCATGCCGCGGTCTCTTCTCTTCCATTCTCTTCTTGAGATTTTGGGGAAGCACACACACGTCCCCAGCGTGAGTTTCAAGCCTCTGGGTCCAGGACTTGAACTGCAGTCAGCCATCTGGGAGTCCAGCGACATAACCATTATACCATCTGCTGGTCCCAAGTGGCTGCCTTGGATTTTTGGTTTGTTTTTTTTGGAGAGGTTTTTGCTATAGGGTGCGTGCGCTCACCAGAAAGACAGACAGGAAGAAAGAAATCACTCCCGAGGAGGGATGGCCACACCACAGTCCCTTCTTCCTCCATTCTCCTCTCAGGATCTTGGGCACGCACGCACACGTGCCTGACGTGAGTTTAAGCTACTGGGTCCGAGACTCGAACCACCGTCAACTACATGGGAGTCCAGGGACATAGCCATTATGTCAACTGCTGGTCCCATGGCTGCCTTGTTTTAAGCAGCTGAAATGAAGAGTATCCACAGCCAAGTCCCAGCCAGCCTGGTCCTTTCTTCCCTACCCAGTCCTGAATCTGCTGGAATTAGGCATGTGGCCAAGAAGTTCCCTCCATCTAGCCCCCCTATTAGCAAAGGTACTGCCCGTTTCATCCTCAAAGCTTTTTCACACTGCACTTCTTGTAAGGGCTGTATTTATGGCTTGCTGGACAGGCTTCATTTGGTAAAAGTAAACGCTCTTTAAACAGGGGCCAACAGGGTTTTCCAGTTGGTTCTAACCCTCCCTGCACAGCCCCAGTCCCTGCCCAGGTCTGTGTGGTGACTGAGCAAGGCTGGGGCTGTTACTCTGGGCTGTAGTTCCATTGGGCCCCTTATTACTGTGAATGCTATTTGAGGACAGCTTTTGATTCGCCAGAAGTGTGTCCTAGCCGAACCACACAGGGGAAACTTGCTCTGGGTGACAGTCCCTTAGGTGACCTCAGACTGGAATTGTTCCGCAGGGCTAGATGTACCCCAGCTGAGTATTTTCTAAGAAATTGCTAAGAGGCTGGCAGGTAGTGTGGTGGTTAAGGTGCTGGACTCCTGCATGGCTGACCACGGTTCAAATCCTGGACCCACCGGCTTGAAATTCACACCAGACACATGGGTGTGCGAGCCCAAAATCCTGAGAGGAGAATGGAGAAGGGATTGTGGCATGGTCATACCCCCTGGGAGGTGATTTCTTGCCTTCTCCTCTCTCATCTCTGTCTCTCCAGCCAGCACAGATATATAGCAAAATCTGTCCAAATAAGAAAAAGAAATTGCTGAAAAAGTTGGCCAGGTCTTTTCAGGCTGCCTGCAATGTTGTAGGTAGCCACTAGATGGCAGTGTGGCACTGCAAGAACCCGGGTCTACTTCGCACTTGGCCCGAAGTCGTCCTTTGACTAAACCAGAATACCTTCCCGGTCACACACAGCCACCAGGAGGCGCGCTTCCATGCTTGTTTCCTAATTCTGGGACCCGCTGGTACTTCTGAGCTCCTTTGTGAAGCCAGCTCACTTTCACTGCACTCAGGAGCTAGGCTCTGGTTCTCACCCTCCCTGTGTCCACAGAGCCCCAAATAGCAATGGCACTGGGTGGGGACACGGAGAGCACTGTGGCCCCAGATACACTGTACGCCTTTGCTTTCATGCCGCCCACACTGTGGTCTGGTGTGTGTGGCCAAGAACACAAAACGTGCACAGTGGGTTCAGGGAGCTGGAGGCACACGTTCCTGACCGGAACACGCTGCATGCCAGGGAAAGGGCCGCCGCCTGCCCTTGTCTGCACAGCTCCCCCACATCTGCCTCCTAGCCACCCCTCACCTGAGAAAACACGGTGGTTAAATGTGGTCTTAGGAGTCACTGTCAGTCACGGCCTCCATGTCTGGGAATGAAGGCCCACCTGACTGAATCTGTCTCTTGTGCAGAAAATGCATCCTTCCTCAAGGGCACTGGGGGAGACGGGGGCAATCAGTAACAGCTACACTCCTCCCCTGGCCCCTCTGTGTCCTGCATGCACTCTGTCCTCATGGCAAGGTCATATGGTAGCCACACAAGGTGGAGGTAAGGGTCAGTGGAGTGAGCGGGGTTTGCTGAGACCCGAGTCTTTCAGCAGATGCCCACCTGGCAACCTGAGTAGCCTAAGGAAGCCCTCTGGAGCCCCAAACGCAAGCACCCCTGGAGAGGGTAGGAGGTGGGGAAGAGACGGCACCATGGGATCCAAACTGTATTGGAGGGACTCCCTGACTGAGGCGCAAGCTCTTGGAATAAGATTTCTGCCCAAATGGCTACAGGCGAATGAAGCCACGCAGGAAGATGCCAGAAGAGCAGAGGAGGATCTGGAACTCTCTGTGGGGCACGGACACACTTGAGACCCAGTTAAGAGCTGCTAGGATTCCTGAGGTCACACTGCACACGGAAGCCACAGACAGAATTTATTAGAACTTGCAGAAGCATGAGATAAGGTACCACAAAATAGTTTGCTTTTTACAACATAAAGAAATGGTAGGAAGTTGTCGATGTACAGTGTTGTCAGCAAAAAGGGGATACAGAGCGGGGTTTCACATTCTTTAAAAGGCAACGGACGATACCTACACGTGTCCGTAAAACAAAATAAAAACAGGAGGGGCCCAGCAGAGCCCAACCTGGTTTGCAGTTAGCATCAGAATCTCAAGCTAGTATCACAATATAAGAAAACTATTAGAAAAATAGAACATCAAACAAGCAAAAAATTATTGTACAATTTACATAATAAAAAAAACACAACTCTTTTAATAATGGCTCCATGTTCAGTAGAAGAAAACATTTTCTGGAGCAACCAGCTACTCAGGTTTGATAATAAACCAGCCCTCATTAGTATCATTACCCTTTGTGCTCCTTAAACCCATTGAAGCTGAAAGGCACAACTTAAGCAGGAAACTTATCTTAAATATATATTATAATTTCTCAAATGGGAAAAGAAGTCCCACATGTAAAAGTCTGTCATCAAGAAACACAAAATCAGGTATATATCTCGTTAATAAATTAACAAAGTCCGGATGCGTCTCCCCGGCCCTGCTGGATACGCTCACGCCCTGAGGAGGCTGGCTGGGACTTCTCTTTAGGCGTGGTCAAGGTTTTCCATCCCACATGGGCTTTCCAAAGCTGACGGGGTGATCCAGGAGGCGCCATGGTGGTCACCCTGCCCTCAGACTCTCTCTGGTCAGGCCACGTCCCTCTGGAAAGAGTACTGAGACTGAATGAAGCAATGGGCCCGAAAGACTCTGGGTTGGAGCCGTGAAGATGGAAGCCAGCTGACATGTCTTAGCCTTAGAAATCCACCAGGAGGCGTAATTTTGATGGCGTGCAGAGTGTAGCTTTTCACACCACTGGATCAATAACGCTTTCGTTGGCCGAGAAAAGGTCCACATGTCTGATGAAATGCCCATCTTGCGCCCCCTTATGAGCCTTACAAAACTCCTCTCATTCCCGTGGCAATCAGATACGTTTTACATTACCTAACAACTATGTGTAACATGTATTCAGTTCCGTCTGAGGTTGAACTCTGCAGTTCAACAGTTTCACACTGCAATCAATCAGCACACACCCTCTGCCCAGCAAGTTCCTTGTCCTGGGAGCCCAGGAGCCAGCCAGAGCATCAGCACACACCTCATCCACCATGGGACACAGCCGGCCTCGGGGGCCTGGCACAGAGGTCCTGCACCTCGCCTTCCTGGGCCAAGGCAATGTTTGGCTCTTTAGAAAGAAAGGAGTGTCTGTGTGAAAATGGACATTCAAACCACAAAGAGACCAGCCCCGGTGTGGAGCCAGCAATTTCCTCTAGAGGTGAGGTCTCATGTCAAGCAGCATCTGTGACCTCACCTGCAAGTCTGGGAACCCAGACTCCCAGCAGTGCCCAGTGTCAGGATACAGGCCACACTGCCTGGGGGTGCAAACACCAGCCCATTCAGAATGATCTGGAGAAGAGCTGGTATATAACCTGCTCTTCACTGTCTCCCCAGCTCCACGCGGGACACACAGCAAACAGTGAAGCACTGCTGCCTCTCGGGTGTGCACACTTCCCAGAACAAAGAGAGTGTGCAGGGGCCTCAGCCACTAGGGGTGGGTAGAGACCTGCCCCTGGTCCTAGAGTCACCTGTGGACGTACAGCTCCTTCTGGCCGCTGCATGACAGACAGGCGGCAGCCCCGGATGCCCACACCACCACATCAGCACGTGGGACTCAATGGAAAGGGAGCTTTTGCTGCTGCAAGAACAAAACCAAAAGTAGAGAAGATCTGAGTGATTCTGTCGACAATATTTATTTCATAATCTTTCAGAACCAGCCTGGGAAAGATGGCTGTCTCAGTCTTCCCTCTCAGTTTGGAAAAACAAATCTGACCCACAAAACCCCAGTGCTTTCCAGGAGACCCCCCTGCACCTTTCTCCGGCAGAGGTCCTAGGGAGCGCGTGTTTGCTTCTTTGTGAATTTGGGCTGTTCACAGCATGAGAACACGCAGGGTTGTGAAGAGAGCAGGGGGACAGGAAGGGACGTCGACTCATAGCTCTGCAGCTACACAGTGGGGGTGTCTGGGGCTGGGGCGGAGACCCAGGCAGACACGATACTCCTGCAGCGTGTGTGTCACTAGGGATGTGGTGCTTGTTGTCTGGGTAAGAAAGCACTGGCCGAGCCATCACACTGAGAGTGATATTCCGACTCGGGTAGGCAGCAGACTAAAATGCGAACACAGTGATCATTCTGAGTTTCTTTTGCCTGTGTGTGTCAGAGGAAAG